CAACTCAAAGTTCGTCGATCCAATAAGCGGAAGCGGTACATCTCGGAGAAGACAAATGCGCGCTCCGGGTTTCTCGGCCACGATCGGATTGAAAGTGCATTCATAGATGTATAAAATAGCATATTCTTGTCGCGTTTGAAAACTAGAATGTCCCTTCCTCACATCGGCGACGTAAGTACGGTCTGAATGCACTTGGACCGAGGAGTTCGCTCATGAAACTGTCCTGCCTGAATAACTCAAATAAAACGGGAACAACTTCTATTCGTCATGAACGAAGAACACCGGAAGGAAACGCGATATATACTTGAATGTGGAAATGCTCACTTTTCAAGTGCGCTCAGATGAGATATCTCTCCCTTGAACTCGTGCCGAAGTATAAGCGTATCGTCGCGTGTCTCAAGCCGCGAGTCAGCGTACACATCCTTGATATCTAAATGATTTTCGTCGGTCGCTCGTATATCATTACGGTAGTATAGCCAGATTAGATGGTAATAACGTGATAAGAGATCCAATTTCTCCCTGCGAAAAATGTGACTATTTATCTAAAAAAAGGCATCAGCACCTCGTCAATCTTAGATCAAATTACACCTATCTTTGTTGCAAATATTAATCAACTTTGCAAAATCTCTCTCGCGCATAGATAACGCTCCTTCGTATAAAATTTATTGTTAAGTTTAGCGCACACATTTTGAATAAATGCGGCGAGTGTGGCGCAGAGAAATGTGCGCTGCTTAGTAAACAAACGAACGAAAAGATCCGAGTTGAAATCCACGGCCACCGCTGGTTTTTTTTTTCGGAATCTCCCGAAGGGAAGTGGCAACCACCGAGAGTATCTTGCCACACATACCCCTTTAGGGCTATAGCCCTCCAGATAGGAGGTTTCCTTCGGCAAGCCTACCGAAGATAAAGTAAAACCAAATGCTCAAAGTACCAGAACGAGAACTGGATAAAACAGGCTTTAAGCCTAATACACGAGGAGGAGGAAGAAGAAGAAGCTTTTGAATAAAATGCAACCGGACAGTTTAACTTGGGAACTGGCGAATTCGTTCATATTTTGAACGTGAAGATAATTGCACGAAATACTCGAACAGCCGCGTTATTTCGATGACTTCACAAGTTCAAGGCACGTCTGACGTGTCTTCTTTACGCGACAAAAGAGATGCGCCGCTGATACAACAAATCGTGTCTCGATTAAGGTAATGCGAAATTCCGATATCTCTATCTCGACAATGAGAGAGTTAATCACAAGACTAAATGAAATATCATAGTCGACGGATCGCGGCGTAATCGAATGCGAGGCCGTACGTGCCGCGCAACGCAAAGTTATATCGCACGTCTAAATTAGAGCTTGCAGCGCAATCATTCATGCGTGTCAGTAGCGCCGCGGAACGAGATTCCACCACGTTGCGTCCTGGTCAAGTAATTTAATAATAATTATTCCCTCACAGGAGACGGCCGCAAAGCGTGGCCCATTGCCACTGTCGGCCGACTCATAAATCACCGGGCTAACGCCTAACGGACTTAGTCGCTGATCGTGATTTAATGCCAGTAAAATGCTAACAACCGCGTATCAACGAGCCAATAAGAGACATCGTTTATGGGGAGATCTTAAACGAGTCGTTAGCCGGCGTGCTATTCGCGAGGTGGCTTTTCCGTTGACGCAACGCAAAATACCTGAGAACAAATAGTGAGATATGAAAAAAGGTGCGAAAGAGAGAGAGAGAGAGAGAGGCTTTTGGCAGAGATAGCAGCATTCGCGGATCGCGTATCAATACAGACGAACCAGACGGAGATTATCAAATTCAGATGACGCTTTGTGACCGCCGGCTATCGCGGAAAAATCAGTGGATATTCACCGTCACGGTTTTTGGCCACGAGCTCGCCGCAAAGCGCGCGGTACTCCTGGCCACAAGTGACGAGACAAAGAAGAATCTCCGGGGAAACGCTATTAAGTTCCAGCTTGTGGCGAACGCGATTATATCGATCGTCATTGTACAGGTACAAAGGCTTCGGTGAGCTAGGTGGTGTGTGTGTGTGTGTGTGTGTAATGTGTATTATCAAAGTACACTGGATGCGTTGATAAATCCGCTAGAGAAGAACGTAATAGAGAAGCGCGAATATTCCGCCGCGCCACAGGACAGCAAGATTTCTCTTAATTGAACGGCACGTAAATAACGTAATATCGCGTGAACGAGTGTGCCGCGTTAATTGGATAGGTAAATTTAATGTTTGCGGAGCTTCAATAATCGCCCTCATGCGCGCACCGGACTTTAACGCGGCGGGAGGCACGCCGCGATTTTACATCAGACCACCCCTAATTTTCTTAGCTTTAATCGAAGGCGATAGTCAACCCCGCGCTAATCGCGTTTCATAAATATCGGGCTTCGCATTACAGCACCCAATTTGAACGCAATCTCGATAGGCGAGCGTCGCGCTTGTATTATTAGACACCTGTATGCTCTCTCAGCTCCGGGGTAATAAGGCGTCACCTGATTTTATCCAGCCTTTCTCCTTTATCGGACTATCTGGAGCGTATTCCGCAGTCTATTTGCGGACGTAATAATCTAACATGGTCGTCAACCCGTGAAGCCCGCCCTCTCGAAAACGTGGAAACGAAATCGCTCCGGCGCGGCGCGGCGCGGCGAGCTCTCTGCGTTATTCATTCGACGCCGTGGCAAAGACTCACGCTCGACCGCACCCGTAAATTATTTCCGGCCGAAACCAAGTAGTTGAAATACGTACAACTTGCATGAGATCCCATTTTTCCTATCAAATATACGTGCCCCTCGCGATTCCGCGGGGCTGCAAATAACCGGTCGAGTAACTGCTTTCCAAATATCCCTTCGCGATAAGGTACGCCGCGCGGGGCTGATATCATCTCAATTAGCACCCGTCGCGTCAAAAACGTCGGCGGTGCGATCAAACACGCGAATTAAACGCTAGGAGAACGATCGTTGATGCGATCTACGAAACGATATGCCACACACGTTGAGTACAAGATTGCCCCACGTCTATCAGTCTGCGGGTTGGACGTGTAGCCTCCGGTCCGTGTGCGGACCGCTAGCGCTGATATAGGCGAGATAAAACGTATAAAAGTGTGTATATATATACGGCGGGCTCCGCAGAATACGATGACTGCCTCGAGGAAATGCCCGGGAATCTCTCGGAAACTTTGGAGCGGTCCACGCGGAAGGCGTTGGGTCAACTGTCACGAATGCACTCTGGACTTTTGGGGTCGCACCGGCGCATTTTCATCCGAGAACTCGAATTCTCAAAGCGGCATACCGTGTGCGCCGTCAGAGTTTCGTGGCAATAAAGAGAGAGCGGGCGGTGAAAAGAGACGCTCTCCGCGAGAAGGACGGAAAATGGAGCATACGTGCGCTTCGGGAAAAGGCGCGCTGAATTGTCCAAAGCTTTCCACCTGTCGGCGAATGCAAAGCACGATTGCCAGCATAGAAAGAATTATCGGTGCGAGCTATCGGCGATCAGAGAAAATCCAGCGTACTCGAGTTCGATCTCTCTTTCTCTCTCTCTCTCTCTTTTCACGGCTACTCGTGCGATATTGCGGACAATCAATAAAATGCTGAGATTATTAAACGAGATACCGTAATTCGTGGTCGCGCACGTCCCACGCGTCGAACGGAGGACGAAAGTAACGATATATCAACCGTCCAATATTGTAGACAACTCTCGCCTTAAACGGCTGACACATAAATCTTCGCTTATCCTTTCAACCGCGTGTCAGCATAAGCGGCGCATTTTTCGCACGCGCATAAACCACTCCTCCGCTCCTCCCCGCCGCTCGAATCGAGTGGCGGCAACAATGAGAGATACCGGGGGTATCGCGCGATATAAAGGCGGCCCCTCGCGCGCGTCAGTGGCGATCCGGATCGTTAAAGTCTCGTCTTCTCGACGAGACGAATGCGGTTCGCGGCGCGCCGCGGCGCCGGCGTCTCCGCGCCCGGGGATTATGGATGCGTTCCACTTCCGATAACGCGCGAAACGCGGAGGCGTTTATGCCCTCGCCCTTACGCCCGGCTGCTCCCTTTTCCCGACCGAGCCGCCCGCGCGCCGCCTTTCGCGCCCGCACACCTCGTCGAAGTTGGCAACAGCATCTGGAGCGTTAAGGGTGGATGAGCGATGTGCCGGTGTCTTGCAGCGTGATGGATCGTCCAATACCAGCCAATATGCAGTATTGCACGTGGAGTGGCAAACTGGTATCCATGCATCAAATCGGCGGGCAGAGAGCGGGCAGGAAGGGAGGATGGCCAGGGGGTGGAAGAGAGAGAGAGAGAGATGGAAGTTTCGTGTGCTCCACACGACACGTTCCTGCACACACTACCGTATGCTCGGTCGCTTCCGTCGTGGTCAGAGAACGGTTCTTGCCGATCCGTCCTTAGTGGTACGACCATAAGGTGCATCTCCGATTGCACGGGATACCTATATACGGCTATGTATTTACACACATACGTATATAAGGAGGTACATATATGTATATACATACATAGGTATACACGTACACGGGATCCGGGATGTCCCGGTAAGAACGGCGAGGATGCTGCGAGCTACGTGGTTGTGCCATGTGTTTGGAACGTCAGGCAACCAGACACGTTTCTCGAGACAATTTCTTGCCGTCTTATTTCATCCGGACGGATACGACCGTGCACCGAATCGTATTCACTTTTCCGTTTAACGGATTGTCCTAAAGGACCAGTTTGACAAACGAGCCGCGAGAAGAAAAAGGATGGCGGATTAAATCAAATCGCGATAGCGCGCCTAAAATAGCGGGAACAAACGCGCGCGGGCCTCATTGGAAATACATGACCGAGCGGTTAGCATAAATAATTTCGCGTGGCGGTAATTCGATTTCTCATCGCGCTACCTCCGGCCATCGCCGGGAAGCTTTTTCGATCGGAGGCAACCAGGTCGGCCCTTTATCTAATTCTCAGACAAACAGTCCAACAAAGAGCTCGATAAACGTGAGAGAAATATTGGCTCACCGAAACGTCAGAGTGGTGAAAGGTCGATAGCTCTTGTGACTATTGATGCTTTCCATCGGCGTACCCCAGAAATCGTCGTTGAGCACGCTGCTCCACGACGCCTCGCCGATCACGTCCCTGTTCCTCACCACCGCCGGTATGTCGTCGTGCACGAAGTCGCAGTCGAGCGCGTTGAGATAACAGCCGACCGCGACGAGCGCGACCGCCGCGTAGATGCACCATCCCGGTGGCTCGTTCGCCTCAGTCTCGTTGCATCCACCGCGGCCGCCTCTCTTCGCCGACGTTGCTTGGCAGAAGTAACCGTTGTTCCGTCGCCTCATGTCGCTTGGCGTAGTCGCTCGGTACCGCGCACGAGATAAGCCCTCACGTTCGTTCGTCCGCGAGCCCGAAGCGCGAGCACTGTCATCAAGTCGCGAGTCGTCTCTTCGGGCACCGTTATCTCCCGCGCGATCGATCGCACACCCCGGTGTGACTGCACTTATCGCGATCGGTACCAGCTGACTCTCGCATTTCTGGGGCGAACGCTCGGGTGGGAGTTGACGATCGGGAAGCGCACCCGCGACCTTACGCCGCTCAAGGCTCGCTACCAAGCACCGTTTCAATCACGAGCCTCGGCATTCCACCCTCGGTGTTTGCTTCATCGATAGCTTTGCGGGCAGACAAATATCGTAAAGGCCGCGATCGCTTATACACCGTTGGCTCTACCGTGCCCCCGAATCGAGTCAAAGGGACGTGACTCTTGCGTAACGCCTGCGGCAAAGCGACGCGAAATGCCGCGGTGCTAGCCGGTGCCTCGCGTTCATCTCTCCCATTTAGGCCGACGACGCTACCCCGATGAGCATTCGTTTGTCCCGCGGTGAGCTTGACAAATGACTGCGAGAGTTCATTATTTATCGGGTCGGCCAGCTCGAGCGTGTTCCAGACGAAGGGTGGCAGCGGGCCTCCGCGCGTGAATCGCTCACGACTCCGGGTAATAGCCCTCGCGTGGACTTTCCTCGGCAATTGCTCCCGCGGGGATCCAAGTGGATCCTTTTTACGTAACCGCGTAACGACGTAACAGCTCGTTACCGCGCCAGCGGCCGGTATCGGGTCGATCCGCTCTCCAGCCGCAAATCACTGATCCGTGCGGATCATTACGGATTCTCCCGGCGGAGTAAAACGCGATATGTCTATAGTTCACTTACCGCTCTCGGACGTAAGTGACATTAACGCGGCAGTTCTATAAGCTGCGACTTCGGCTCGCATATCCGATACTTATCCGGTCACTCTACGAACAGATTTTCAATCACGCCCGACACCGAGCGCACAGAGTTATGCGTTTCTCCTGTCGCTCGATACATCGTGTGCCCTTATTTAACATTTAGCGTATCGTTCTTGGAACGTCACAGCTAACGTAACAAATGTATCGCGATTGCACGATCAAACGATAACGGTTTCGCAGCTACTCTTATCACCCTATATTCGCGTGCGCGTCAAGAGCGAGAGTCTCCTCCGGTCAACGATGATCTTCACTCTTTTTTGCTGCATCGGGAAAATTTCGTGGAATTATGGAGAAGAGGCTGCAACGCCGACAGGACGGCTGTATGACCCAGATACCCAGGGCTCCTCCGTCGCCACAATTTTACTGTGCATGTAGATCTATACAAGCGGCTCGTATCTCGCCGTGGGGCATGGCTCGAAATCCTCCGCGACAGCGCCTGCACCTCCCGCCGACCTCCCGCTTCTCCCGCTACCACTCTCCTATCTCTTTCCCCTGACGACGCTGCCACTTGGCCGCGTTCACTCCTTGTCCCTCGCCTCTCTCAGACCTCACCTTCCGCGCCGATGAATTCAATCTTTGGGCAAGCTTCGCGACGATTTTTTTCTCCGATCCTACCGCGCGACGACCAGGCTTGAACTCTCGACGCGCCGATCTCACTAGCGTGGCCCCCGCTGCTCGCCTCCGGCGGGACGTCACTCGAGATAAAAGCCGGGCATACTCGGCGTTCGAGTAGCTTGCGGTGGACGTTCCTCGACGTTCGCCCTGTTCATCCGCGACAAATCGTATCGAGTGATTTTTCACGAAGGAACGAGAGAACTCGGCGTGGTAGAAAATTATGGACGATCTCTATAGTTAGAGGTATATATTATTTGGTAGCTCCGATCTCGCTTGAATTTACCGAAATATTATACTTGAAAAAATACTTTGGTACCGCTCTTTTCACTTCTCCGACCTTGGTTAGATCGCGCGATAGCGTACGAGTCGTATCAAGGACGCCCGGATGCGGTCGCAGAGGTAGAAGTATTATTCCCCCCCGATGGTCAGCGATCGGGGATGGTAGCTACGCGAACGTTCTCTCGCTCGTTCAGGCGGGGTAAAAAACGTAAACGGAGTAAAATTTCCTCGAGAGGCCGCAATCTGGTAACGTGCACCCTGCCGATCGACACGGTGCGTTGATCGGTAAGCCCGCGCATCGGAACGTCACAGATCACGAAAACGACATCGGTGTCGAGCTCGAGCGGGTCACCGCGACGACGATAAGCGCGAGACTAAGGGACGACGGCATCCGCCCGGTTATATACCCGACGCACTCTGACCCGCAAAGCCGCGCCCGCGCACGAGTCACCCCCGGGGGTTTCCCTCCTGCATCCTCGCGCGCCTTCCCTTTCTTCTTCTTTCCCGTTCGCCGGCACCTGCTCAACCTTGGATTCCACTGACGTCATGTTGTTTACCCATAGTTCACCTGCCAAAACAGGTCCCTCCCCCCCCCCCCCTCCAAGGCACGGTAAGTGTAAATGGTCAAAGCGAAGGACCACTGGCTTACGGGCATGACAATTTAATGGCTTTTTAACGCTGAAATAAGACGGCTCTTATTAACTGCCCTGAAATGTACGAGAGGTAACGATTGTTATAATAAATGGTAAGAAATCGAAATTATCGTCTCTATAATTGCTAATTTGATCAGGGAGATATAAAATAATTTTATCCGGCGGCTCCAATTGCCCCGTTTTCTATTTCCGGCACTCGTGACTCATTTTAATTAAATTGAAGTCATTAACGAGATTTCTACGTTACGCGTGATATAGTTAGGCGCTCGTATCGAATCTTACGAACAAGATAACAAAGACAGCGCTGAGCAATTATTTATTACCTGGTATTTCCCTCCGGGAATATCTCGCATCTAACGATACAATGGATCACGGCTCGCGAATCAGTGAACGTAATGACGATACGAGCTCGTTACCGACGATGATGATACGGTAACGAGCCCGTAGTTGCGAAGTGATGCTGCATTGTATGATTGAATTTGGCTATTGGCATCACAACCCCGAACGTGTATCAAATTGAAATTACATCAAGACATTGTTATCATATAATTTTAATTATTGTTTGAAATCATTATCGCAAGCAAAACGGCTAAAGTGTAAATGCAACAACAATTTATACGTAATAATTTATGCATAAGCGTGCAACGAGATTTCTATACACATAAGCTCGTAAGCGAACAAGTGTGCAGTTCCATTCGGAGAAATTCACATCGGAAAGCTGTGAAATTATTCTTCAAATTTTTAACGTGACACACACCGGAGCAGATGGAGCTTTCACGGGATTAATATAGAGAACGGAATTAAATCCTACACGCATACTTGAGATTAGTTTCTATTCTTCTATTCTTATTCCACCTTTAACAAGATTCCGACGAGGCTAAATTATCTTGCGACTACCGAGTAACAGATATATCACCATAAAGTGGCAAAGATAGATCTGAATTTTTCATGTCACTAATAAGCAAGTTTCGCAGAAAGTTATAATTGAGCGAGATACCGGCATTCTTCTACCGAGGAACTTAATATTAGCGACATGGCTGTCGCTCAAGTAATTCGCATAATGTACCCGGAGCTCGCAATTAATGATCATTTAGTTCGATGGCGCCGGGTAGCCGTCAGTGCCACGATTCGCAGGCGAGCGTGGAACTTTGGTCCGCCAGCGCGCTGAACTTCCGTATGAATCCACTTTCAAACTGCGCAAGAATTTTTAATTACGGCCTTGTAGAACGAAAAACGCCACTTACGTGTCACGTTAATGGCTCTCCGTTTCGGCGGAATGCGTAGAGCCGGGCTCCGCGCGACTTCCAGCGAGTTGCCACTGTCGCAATGGTGGGCAATGACGATTCGCGATAATCACTTTATTCGCACTTGCGGTCTTTATTCCCTTTGGCCTCGAATCGCGTTCGCGATTGTCGCGTGTCTCGAATGTTTCCCAGAAAAATGACCTGTACAACGTTTACACGGATCATTTTTTGACTCTTTAAACTCTTTGAATTCTTTCAACTCTTTGAAACTTTGAATACTCTTTGAACATGTATTTAAGACAAAGTTAAATGTACACTAAAAAATAGTGGTGCAACCTTCCACCACATCCACGTAGTTAAGGGGATGCTGGAGTGATTCTGCACTTTCGCACCCTTTGCACTTAAAACTGTCTGTTTCGTGGAAAGATTTGTGTAATACACAAATTAAATGGCACGTGTACAGATGATCGAAAGCAGCTTGCTATTCCGGCT